CATTCTACCAGTGCAGTGCTGTCTTGAGCCGGACAGTCGAGAACTCGAGCTATATGAAGTGTATGGGTGATAGTGTCTCTAGCAATTGCCCATGGGCTTAAAGCAGATCCGCTGTGCATTATAGCCCTTTGGAACAAACCTAATAAGGAAAAAGAAGTTTTTCTGAATGTAATTTTAGCATTTACAGAAAATGTTAAGTTAACAGAAATGTATATGTTATATTTATATTTACTTTTAACTTTGAAGCAATATCTAGAAATAAACTTACGAATTTATATATTTAATCAATGTATTGAAATGTATGGTAATTTTTTTCTTCTTTTTCCACTATTGTTGCTAAAATAATCAACACTGCAGGAATTATCTTCCTGAAAGAACTGTAAAATAACCGTAACCAGACGCCCGTCCATCCTAACTATAAAGTTTACGGTAGAGAACATTTTCACCATTACGGTTTTGAATCCATTTGCAACTACTCCTTTTCAGAATCCATTTACTACTTTTTTGAATCTATCCTATGGTTTTGAATCCATTTACAAAACTACGTTGTTTTTTAACCGCTTACAATTAACTTGGTTTAAAAACCGTAAGAAACACATTTTACTGAACATATAGTAGCAAAGTTGCAGAATAGTTATGTTTTATCAAATGAACCGTGGAATGCGGCTCAATTAGTTTATTATATTATTGTTAGTATTAGTTTAGGAAATAGTAGACTTTTTGTGCTAAGAAGCTTTATGGTGCTGCCATCTATGTGTGAATGAGAGCATCGTTTTCTAAGAGTTCAGAGTCACTAACTGGGGATTGCAGGACATTGGAAACTCTGAATGCGTTGAGGAGAACTACGAATGTAGTGTCAACGCTGGGCCTTAAATTGTCGTCTTGTCTGTCATGAGATTAATAGATTAGCCCTAATCGGTTATAATATGTACCCAGCTGCAAGGAATTAAGTGTCTTCATTAGGTGGGCCTCTACTTGTTGGTGTTATGAAATTCTGGCTGTTTAAACATATGAGGTAAAAGCAGTTAATAAACAGTTAACAGTTTGAATATCATTTTATTCCTGGTCATTTAATTGTTTTGTTTGAAAACGGTAAAATAACAATTACATAAAATATTGGTTAACAATTTTATCCAAGATATTTCGAACAGGGAAAGCTGTGCTATAATTTACCAATTTGTTTAGTATCTTCATAATCACGCAAAATATGAAACATGGATGTTTCATTAATGAAACATACAAAATTCAATAGTTACTTTAATAAAATGTCTGCAGATTTTCTTTTAACAATTGTAGAAAAATATGACCCTAAGGAGTTTGATATATTTGTATTTACACAAAGAATTTCAACCAAAAGCAAAAAGGAAAGACAGATTAATTCAATCACGAGGAAATTTGTGGTGAAATATCTTCTCAAATTTCGTGTTGAGAAATCCGGAAAATAGTGTGATGGAACACTTTTTTAAAGTTAACACCAAACAGAGCTTTCATATAAAATTTAAAGAACATAAATAAATCCAAACTCATATAATGGAAGAAGCTTGCACCAAGATCACGAGTATATATGTCTACATTATGTATGTTGGGTGTCCTATTTTATACATAATACTATTTTATACATAATATTTTATTCTTGAAAAATCTAATTTACTAATTCCTAGGGGACAGTAGCTTTAATGTTTTTCCTGTTTTCCATGTTTGCCACCTTAAGTTCTGCCATGGGCCGACCACAGACCGGAACATCTCTCCTTTGGCCTAATCTGCTCTACTGAGTGCTTATCTCTCATTATCTCATCATCATCGCTCTCTTGGGGAGAGAGATAAAGATAAATATATAAATAAAATAAAAAAAGGAGCTGGCCATTCACGGCGTGCTCCTATCATTTGAAGAACATCTCCTTGTAGAATTTGCAAAGAGAAATGGAGGCATATTATTGATCCAAAATTTATCTTGGTCTACCAGTTCTAGTAGAGAAAAACAGGAAAAAAGTTTGCTGCATTTCTAGGTATTTATAAAAATACATACATTCACCCTGAGTAAGGTTGGGTTAAGTTTTAACATAGCTGAAGCTGCTCAACACCATTTATGATTCTCCATTTCCTTTTTCTGACTATTTTAGAATCTTTGCTTTTTCCTCTCAAGTATATTTTTGCATGCATATATTTTAATATGTATACTTCGTACTCATTGATATTCTTTGTATATATTTGATGGACAAAATCATAGCTGACTTATTTAAATTGGACACACCTTAGCTCCCATAGTGATTTTGATGATAAACTTTACTTAAAAAAAAACAATAAAATATGCTTTTCATGTTCAGTGACCAATTAAACTAACATTTTGATCAGGTTCAGTCTTCATATCGAAATTTGGAAGTTCAATCTCGTCGAAAAGGGGTCAATGCGGGTATTGTGGTCGAAATATATAATTCCACCCTTAAAGACACGAAAACAAATTAATGAGATAATAGTTATAAAAATACACTTCCTTATAAGTCCTAAATCAGATACAATACTTTTCATATTATTATTTTTCTCATGAAGTGCCTTTTTGGTATTATATATTGAATTACGAATTAGAAATCAAAGGTAAATAAGAGGTAGCATTTTAATGTCCTTTTTTTCGATAGAACAACAAAAGGTATAATATGTTTCAATTAATATGAAATCCGAAAAAAGGTTTCGGGAGCGCTAAAACTTCATTCTGGCATGTAATGTATGTTCTTACATGCTCATTACCGTTAGCAAAAAATATGAAGTTTTCTTAATCCGGGAGATACAAACATATTTCTTTTTAAAGGCTTTTATATTCCAGCAATAATAGTTCAATAGGTCTATATTAGTTACTTTTCATGATATGTATTTTCTAATAACGTTTTTTATCTTCTATATTGCAGGCATCCTGCAAAGAACTATTATTTTGGCAATAGACAGATTCGCGCTTTTAGCGAGGTACCAATCTTCTTCATTTTTTTAAGTTTAAATCAAGAAATTTCTGGAAATTGTGCATTTAATTAATTCCTCTAGAACCTCTAACACGTCTAACTACCTCTAACATTCGTTACAGCAGTAAATATTGAACATATTTGCTAATAAAAAACATTTTAGTACTAAAAAATTACATTCTGTTATGATTATAAATATTGTTTATAAGTAATACTACATACTTTAAATAAACTAAATATATTTTACCTCTAGCCATAGGAGATAACATTAACAAATTAACGCAAGCAGCTCCGTATCCATGTCCAAATATAGTTACATTTCCAGTATCACCTCCAAATTCCTCTATATTCTCTTGAATCCAGTGTAAAGCCGCTACCTGATCCATAAGCCCATAGTTACCTCTTGCAGACCTGTCTACTGCTGGTAAGAAACCTAAAATAAACATTGATTTTATACGCGCGCTGCTGAAATAGAATTAGTCTTAAGTAAAGTTATATTTCTTTTACTACATATAACGTAAAAAATCTTTTAAACACTATCTAGACTAAACATTGCAGTTAATCTAGAAAGTCTGAAAAGGCCCTTCGCAGATTGTTTACGCATAAATCAATTAGACTTTTTATATCTTGAAACATAATGAAAATTAATTTAATAAGAAAATTATTAAAGACTCGGTCGTTCAAATTCTTTTGTATTTTATTTGATTTGTTAAAAGAAAATATTTTATTAAACGGAACACAGACTTTCCAATTATACTAATACATTAGTTACTTAGATAATTACGTTTTCTTGTTCTCCATAAATAATAATTGAATATATCTTGAAAACGAAGAATAATACAGAGATATCCTATACGTACTAAAGGGTACCTTATACTTGAACAAACCTGAGTTAATTGAGTATCAGCGAAAATACGTATAAAATTCTATAAATAAGTTCCTACAGGGTAAATACATGAATGATTAAATTGTAAATTAGATAAAATAATTAAATTATCAGAAAAGTTCAATACTTTCAAAAAGTTATTTTTTTAATTCAAAAGCATTTAAAAACCAGAGTGGCCAAAATGACCCAGTGGTCTTTTCAGTTGAAAAAACAGTTGTTTAATATAATCCTTAGGTTATATTTCTAATATTTCAAAAACTTCGATCCATATTTTGAATTATTCATAAAAAAATTTATCTGAAATTTTATTTCATAAAATTAACATTAATGCCAATGTTTCTGAAATCTCTTTTTATGCTAACTTCTTTTTTTAATTTAAAATTTAATTTTGAACTAGTAATATTCTTGATTCTATGCTAACCACGCTGATTTTTCTTTTAAATAGTTCATGGTAAACTCATTTTATTTCAATCCCTAGTAATATTTAGATCATCTGAGCATGCATTGAAAGCAAACTTTTATGGGTTGAAAAACTTCTTTATTATCTATTCATTAAAGTTTTGACAAGAGTGACTTGGTGTAGCAAATTGGAGGAGAATTTGACAAATCAAATAAAATTCTAAACAAAATGCTTCAATAAATGCGTATTTTTATACCTGGCGATTTTAAAATCAACTAAAAAACTAAATTTTTCGGTCAATAAAAAAATTAAAATATTAAATATTTTAGTTACATCAGTTAGCATCACCCAAATCCATAAATTAGGTTGCCAAACCTTAATTATTCCATCTTAAAATGCTTACATAATTTAATAAATGCTGTTAAAATTTTTGTTTGGATACATTGGACAAGGCTCCAAAAGGTTTTAAATTAGATTCTTATTCTAACACGCGCTTTCAAAAAGAGCAAAATAAGATTTTTTTTGTCTCGATCAATATTTTGTTAAAATGTATCGATTTACATCCCATAAAAATCTTACTAAAGATTAAAAATAAAGAACAAGATAGAATCGTTTTCGTATCCTTTATCCCCAGTGGTACAAAAAAAAAGGTATACGCTCAATTTTATTTGCCAAGTGTTTTGAAAAAGATATCAGAAAGAGCAATTGACTGTCATACTTTTTGGTAAACAAGGAAGAGAAAAATGAAGGTGCCTAAATGAGACCTTCAAGATTTCATATACAAACCCAAAGAACCACAACGGAAGAAAATAATAAAAATCCATACATTCCAATACATCTATTCTGTGTATGATAAAACCTAACAATATCCATATTCATGTCTCATAAAATGCATCAAGCGACTCTCTATCTATTTTAGATGGATATCCGATAACCCATCTTGCCGCCTCTATTCCTTCTATGATACGATAGAAACATATTGGTCCTCCAGCAAAGATAGAGAAGACGTCATTCTAAAAGGGTAGCCATTCACGGATGGAAACGAGAAATTCGAGAATGGCACATACAGGGGTAACAATGAAAAAGTTGCTCCCAAAAAGGAGAAAAGAGAAGAAAAAAAAGAGAATTCGTGAAAAGAAGGCGGAGGATGATAACAAAGAAGGTTGATTTTTATCTCGCTCCTCGTTCTCGGATTGCTTAAAATGGGAATATTTCTCGAAGCCAGTACGAATAAGAGCAAAAGAGAAAAGATTATTTTTAACAACGAGCTAACTCATCAGGAAGATGGAAGTTTACTTATGCAAATGAAGAACTTTCTTGATCTTCGAAGTTCTAGATGAAATATTTTGTTTGATTATAATATGTCAATGTGTATCTTATATTTTCGTGTGATAATCCGAATAGAAAATAGTTTCAGAGTAAAAAACTGTTATTCATTGGAAACGAAATTCTCATTCTTTATTACCCATTTTTAATTATTTACGAGAACAACTCATCATACTGGAGCTAAAAACGCAAAAAAAAAAAAAAAAAAAA